GAGTTCTCCACCAAGAGCTTGATCTGATGCATCAACGTCTAAGATGAATGCATCTTCTCCGTTTGGTAATGTGAGTACCGGGGGTTGCGTTAATGCGGCTTTGAGTAGTTCAAAAGCTCGCTGCTGTTGCTCTCCCCAGTCAAAGTCCCTGTCCTTACAGGTAAGACGATACAGTGGTGCTGCAATATCAGCGAAATTGCTGATAAATTCCCTATGGTAGTTGGTTAATCCCAAGAATTGTTGCAGCTCTTTCACGTTCTTTGGAGTAGGCCATTCTTGGACGGTTTGAACATCGGTATCGGAAACTGATAACGTGTCGTCGCCCACAATACGTCCCAAAAACTCAACCTTCTTCTGAAAGAAAACACACTTTTTAGGTTTAAGCTTTAGGTTACTCTGACGAAACCTTTCAAGAACACATGCTAAGTTATTTAAATGGTCTTCGAATGTCTTACCCAATACCACAATATCATCTAGAAATGCCAGTACCGTATTCCAAGTGAGTCCCCTCAGCACTAAACCCATAGCCCTGGAGAAGGTTGCAGGGCAATTGGAGAGACCAAATGGCATCTTGATGAATTCATACAGCCCATGTTTGGTAACAAAAGCTGTCTTTTTACGGTCCTGGTCGTTCATCTTGATTTGCCAGTACCCCCAGATAGCGTCTAACTTGGAGAACAAAATATTACCTGAGAGTGTATCAAGGCAATCCCTGACTAACGGTAAAGGGTAAGCATCTTTAACCGTCACGTTGTTGAGTGCACGATAGTGGAAGAGCATCCCCAGTATCAATTCGGTGCTCGATCTCTGCGAAGGTGCCAATATCAAACTGATGTGCAGCGAAGGCATCCTGGTACTGAACGAGTAATGCAGTGAGTGCTTGGAACTCTGAGACTGAAAATGAAGACTTAGAAATATTTAACATTCCAATCAGATGTTCAGGTACCCCAGGTGTAATCCCTTCCCCCATAGCAACTTCGTCGTCATCCCCAGTGACTGAACTTATTCTTGGTGACTCGGTGTTCATCACGTCAAATTGCTCAGTCTCCATGGCCATACCTATTTTCCTACCCCTCTTCATGGTTACATAATTATCGGACATATTCACTACACAAGTGCATGGTGTATCAATGCAGCGGTGCAGTGTAGCTGGAATCGCTACCTTCTCGGTAGGGTCCGGTTCTATGAAGAAATCAGGCATAGGTAAGCTATCATTAATTAAATGACATTTAATATGTGCAGCGCAATGAGGAGGTATTACTCTACGTTTGGCAACAAATACTCGGGCTACTCTCGAGTCAGGTGTCGCCTCCCCTCTAAGAGATATGGTGCTGTCACCAATAGTTAATAGTAGCTTCCCGAAGTCAATTACAGCTTTGTTGGGATGGAGGAAATCTCCACCCAATAACATCTCATCATTTATAAGAGCTACATAGAAAAATCTATTATACTCGTTTGAACCTAAACGATAGTTAACGGGGCCCACCTTATAGCCTGGCATGGATGTTCCCCTCCCAGCTAGGGTAAAGGATAATTTGGCTACAATAGGTGGTGCTGGTTCAAGGCTAGAGTATACCCTATCAGAGAGGATAATGTAATCGGCTGCGGTATCTACAACTACATTAATTTTTACATTGTTGACTAGAGCAGTTGCATGCAGCGCGTTTTCGGACTTTACTCTGCTGATAGTTATTTCTTCTGTTGTCGTTGTCATTGCCGTTGTTGACTTGTTACTGTCCCCCGGTTTAATAGAATGAGAGGCAGTAAGTGAATCAGAATTGTTTGACGTCGTCACAGTTTCTTGTGGACTGGCAGCATTGCTAGGCCCACCCGGAACAAGATGTATATTTTGTGGACTAACGGTGTTGCTAGGCCCACCAGGATCAGAAGAAACTGCGTCGTTCATGATTTTCTGGTCTTCTTGTTTTTGTTGGCCGCTACAATGAGGATGGTCAGCTAGCTGGCCATGGCTTCCGACCCCTACTCGTTTAAAGGTTCCTCACCCTGAGCGCCAACCTCCCTGGTTTGTTTAGATAGAGTTCCCAACTGTGGGCAGTCTTTACGCCAATGTCCCACCTGGTGACATTCATAGCACCGATCCCCCCGTGGTTTTAGCATTTCCAACACCGCATCAAGCTTCTGGTTAACAGCCACCATCTGATCTTCGAGGGCGGTCAATCTACTATCAGAACTTGATTGTGATGGAGATGGTTTTCGGCTAGTAGGGACCGATTTGCTAGCGGGTGTAACAGCAGTTGCTTTTCATGGGTAGAAGATCGAGGATAGCTTGATTTACCATCCCGGTTGTAACGTTTACCCACTTGTCTACATTCTGCAGTCTCGATATCATCGCTATCTTCATCCTCATCCTCTTCCTCGGAGTAAGCAGGAGGTGTTAATGAACGATAAGTGACATGGGTAGCAGACCTGATCAGGGGTTTTCCAATATCTCGAGATCTGCTCCCTCTCCGAGTCCTAGTGCCATACAATCCTCGGAGACTGTCGTACTGTTCATACTCGGTCAAAGCTTCTGCCAGAGTGGTAACATGCTTATGGAGGACATGTCTCCCGGCCTCTGCATCCCGGCAACCAAGACAGAACCTTGTCGCAGCTTGCTGACGGATCCAGGCCCTTGGCAGATCTTTATATGCTTTTCGGGTCATAGCCATAACTCGATCACCCCACTCATCAATGGATTCGTCTTCACGTTGAGTGGCAGCTTCCAATCGAGCTTGCAGGACGGCAGGCAAATCTTCCTCCCCGAAACGTTTATCAAAGGCCTTCAAGATCTTCTTGAAGGTGATCTTACGGTCCATTTCTAGGAGATTGACATAGAAATCGGCCGCAGACCCCTCCACACACCAACAAAGAGTTTCAGTTTTAGCTTTCGGTGTTAGCTCGTATTCTTCTGTAAAGGCTAGAAAACGTTTTTTAAAGAAAGACCAGCTTCCCTTGCCCTTAAATACTAAGTTTTTGGGGATGTCTCTCGGCTTGAGAGTTCCTAACCCAGGTCTATGATAATCCTCCCGTTGTCGTTCTACTCTATAGTAATCATCCCACCGATGATCGGGTCCAGGATAAGCAACCTGTCGATAATCGGGTCTAGGATAATCCTCCCGTTGACGATGATATCTATAATGATCTCCTCGTTGTTGATCAAGTCGAGGATAACTCTCTCGACGCTGATCAGCTCTGACGTGATCCAGGAAAGCTCGCTGATGTCGCAAGATCTCACTGCTATCATCCTCATCATCACTTTCCTCACTCCCACAGACACTCTCTTCCTCACTCTCTCTCAGAGTATTCAACAGGGCGGCGGATTCGCCTGGATTTACCCTTAGATGATGATTTACTCGTCCGAGATGGTGAACCATGGCACGCAACCAGGACGGGATCCGATCTACTCAGGGCAGGAGTTGGAGACAACCTATTCCCGGAATGAGACGGTATATCCTGGTGGTGACGGGGTGGGTTAGTAAGAGGAGTTGATGGTAACTGACGACTACTGGGAGCAGCAGCCAGGTTCTTATTATCAACCAGGGATGAGACCGATTGGATCATCGAACCTACCCCTACTTCCCCCAAAAGAGGATTAAGCGTGAAGTCTACATAATTCTCCAAATTAGATCTACTAACCCCCTTAATAGCATCCAAACTATCTGGCGTTAAGTTACCATGACGTGTCCTCCAACGGATTATCTGTTGGGCACGTTTTTTCTTAATATGTGGGAGTTCACACAGATCCCTCTCGTCACAAAAATTTATTTTTACAGGAAAATTAACCTTCGACATTGTAGATGGGAAAGATCACACGTACACGTTTAGGTCAAAGGTTAAATAGGCTAAAATTGAAAATAAGTGAGTTAGCAATGATAAAATTATACAATAGATAAACAAATCAATGCTTCACAAATATCAATTTAAAACCTGCAATCCAAAGCAATCTGGTTAAAATGTAAAAATAGATATGCAAGTATAAATGTGAATACAAATATAAAATATCTAAAATAACACGTATCACACAAGCTACAATAAAACAAATAGTTATTGAAAACCTGTGGATAAAACCAGAAAAATTAATCTGTATGCAAATGAGTTAGTGGAGATATGCACTAAGCTCTGCACAATAAAACAGCACACACGGCCTAGGGTAATATCTAGACGACGTGTTAACACAATATTCTTCAACAAAACAGAGTTTAAAATATCTAACTATCTCCTA